AACTCGCTTGTGTTGAGCAATGTTCTTTTAGATTCAGATGTCCCAAGATAGATGGGTAGAGATACCAGTACCCCAAGCCTTTGTTAACATCCTGGTTCAGGGACTCTTACAGGTCCCTTCAAGAACGCCAGTCTCGTTCGCAAAGGATTCCTGAGAAACTGAGAACCATTCCATCTTTTCGAAGGAAGTTTAGAAGTCAAACTTCCGACAATATGGACAGATGAAAAGCAGAGTAGGGCAGAGGCAGAGAGAAGAGAAAGATTAGAAGAGAAAGAGTCAGAAGAAAGAAGATGCAGATGGGCGAAAAGGTAGGAAAGTCGCGAAACACTGTGTTTTTTCCAATGAGTTGTGGCTCCGGAGGGTCGAAAAGTAGGCTCGCTAAAGCGGCGGGTGCGGAGCCAGCTGGCCAGATGAGAGATGAAAAATTGCACGCCGTTGTGGCGCGAAGCACATTTCGAAGTCAAAATGTACAAAACACCTCGGCGTCGGACCACTTTTGGAAGTTGCGATGTCAAAGTGAACGCCGTTGTGGCGCGAAGCACATTTCGAAGTCAAAATGTACAAAACACTGCAGTGTCGGACCACTTTTGGAAGTTGAGATGTCGAAAAAGTGCACGCCGTTGTGGCGCGAAGCACATTTCGAAGTCAAAATGTACAAAACACTGCAGTGTCGGACCACGTTTGGAAGTTGTGATGTCGAAAAAATGCACGCTGTTGTGGCGCGAAGCACATTTCCAAGTCAAAAGTGTTAAAAACTGGCGGTCTCGGACCACTTTTGGAGGTTCAGATGTCGAAAAAGTGTCGAAAAAGTGCACGCCGTTGTGGCGCGAAGCACATTTCGGAGTCAAAATGTTGAAAACACCAGGGGTTCGGACCACTTTTGGATGCTCAGATGTCGTTCCGCGTGGCAGGTGCAAGGGATTGTCGATCTTGTCGAAAGTGAGCAAAACGTGAGGGTTTCGTAGCATTTCGAAAAACGATGGCAGGCATGGGACTTTTGAAGAGGATCTGCAAAGATGCATTTTCCGTGGCAGGCGCAGTACAAAAGACGTGTTCATGAGAGATGTTAGGAGGTCAGGGCGCTCATTTCCTGAGAGGGGTTGCATTCTGGAGCATCAGATCTTCAGGTTTGCTGAGATGATTTTGCGTGACAGGTGCAGCACTTCGTATGACCTGGCATCAATTTTTCGTGGCAGGCGCAGTACTTTAGAGAGGTGGAGTAGAAAAATCGCAAAACGCATTGGTACGAGGCTGCCAGCGCTGCACTCAACTTTCTATTTTTGAAGGAAGTCTCGCAGAATTATTTTGTTTTTGATGTTGTCAAGTACAAAATTTGAAGAAGTCTCGCAGAATTGCTTCGTTTTGGATGTTGTCAAGTTCAAAACATGAAGAAGTCTCGCAGAATTGTTTCGTTTTGCACGTTGTTACGTTCAGGTAGGTAGATAATCAGAGAAAGATAGAGAAACAGAGAGAAAAAGAGAGAAAGAGAGGAGACCTCAAGCACCTTTCAGTCCATCAGTGGCTTCGCTCTGCCACCCGTGATTCACAACAGCCAACCTCTCCTATAGGTTTCCTATTTTTGAAACTTCCGCCACCGCCTTGTGCGGTACTACTGGTAGGTCAATTTAGAACAGAAGAACAGCAGACTCATTCGGTAGGGAAACTCTGCTTAACATAATCTTAGCACATCTTAACATGGCATTCCCGATACTTCCCAAAAAGCCACGTTGAACTCTTCCGGCCAAGGTGGTTCCTGCTCGGATGATATCTGTGGCGACACCACAGAAATCCAGCGGCCAGTTCTGCGCAGCGGAGTCTCAGAGATCGTTGAAACGAACGAAACGAACGAAGCCGTTTCGTCTGGAACTACCAGAGGGCATGACTTCCAATAGCATTCTTCCTGATTGGATCTCGCAGTCGGAGGAAAGCAAGATTAAGAGTGACTTTAAGGAAGCAATGATGCTCGGCTATATATTTGTCCGTTTCTAAGAGTGCAACTGTCTGAAGGAAATTGATGCATCCCTTTCATAGGAATCAGAATGACCTACCTGAAAGGAATTCCTTGAAACAATGAGGGCACCATGTCAGATGTTCTAATTATAGATGGTTGTTTCCCTTAATCAGTGTCCATAACATGTGGTTTCACATCTGTAATTTGATTATCTTACTTTCCGATATCTTTCATCCTACCTTACACATATAGTTCTCCATGTATATGGAATATGTATCAACATTCAGACCAATGATATGACCCAAATGATCCGAAACCTAGGTATATCCTTAATGAATAGGCTATACCATACATGAAACCCAGATGAACCTCGGCTGGTTTCATTTCGTGCTTCAGTTGCGGAGTTGTTAACGGCAGCCGCGGAGGATTTCCATCATGGGCATTGACCATGCGGCGCCCTCCGATCGCTTTTGCTCCGGGCGCTGGGTTGCAATTCAGCAAGCGCAGATGGCATTGCTGGCTGCGCAAAGCCCAGGCAGCTGAAGGGATGGCCCGCAATGGCACACAAGATGGTCAGATCCAATACGAAGATGTAGGAAATTCTGGAATATCTAGGAAAGCCATTGAACATCTCGAAAAACAATCTTCCAAGCTCAATCATGTATTGGGGTTCCATTTGAAATTTAGAGGGTGCAAATGGTAGCTGGGTTATTGGATCCTTGTAATCATAAGGGATATATATAATCTTAAGTGATATAACACAATGAATGAACGGTTGCTTGCAACCCTGATCATTCCAGTCCAAATTGACCACTTGAAAACTGATTGCCTATACTAGTCATGCCAACTATCATTATACATACTACTCACATAATATGGATCCAATCATATATTGCAGTGATCATATAATATATGTGTCAGGGTCTCATCTACATACCTGGTGGGATTGATCATTGAAACGGGGTAAAGCACTGGATTTACAACGGGGATGATGGGGTCTACCCACCCTGGAATTGCTCAAGATGCCATCACTTTAATTTTTTCATCGGTTAAAACACCATGAAATTTGCAGGATTTTGCACAAGTGCCCCTTAGGCAAAGCACAGTAATAGGAATACCATGGAATACCGATTCACCAAGTGACAAATCAATCCGTTGACTATGAGATTTGGTGATTTGTTTCATCCCTAGCTGTTGAGAAGTTAACTCAAATAGTATTAATCATATTGAATATTCAATAATCTTACTGTAAAGCATTTAATTAGTTATTTAATGGTAAATTACTCCATGTTCAAAAAAAGTTTGTACGGGACTTCAACCATTTCAAATCACTATGATCGTTGGCTCGTGCTGTTTTCATCTGGTAATTTCGAAACGTTAAATCCCGAGGTGCCATACAGTGGATGCTTGGGAAATCCTGCACCAATCTGCACCAGTTGGTGGAAAAAAATCCCCTGTGCGAATCACATAATTGTTTATAGATTTTATAGTGATTCATAGGAATCCCATTTTGGTGTTCCAAACACTACCAAATCCCCTGACAGTATAGGAATCCCAATAGTTACCCTGGTGAGGGGATGTCATCCGCTGGGGTTCCCCGCTGTCGTCCAGGTCGACCTTGTAACACTAGCGTCCCTTGTCGCTTGCTGAAGCGCGCACAAGCAGAACTTTCAGGTTGGGATGGTCAGTTTCCCCAGGGCAGCTGGGATGACTTAGGGATGTATCAAAAAATACACACGTTGCTGTTATAAGAAATGTTGTTACATAGTTAATTACACATAATAATTTACATATCATTATTATATATGATTATATGCTCACTTAGCCTATTTGTTTGAAGTATGTGTTGTATTTCATGATACACATCATGTTCTACGGGGCGTTGAGGGTTAGCGTGTCCTGAGTTGTCAAACAACGGTGCACTTTTGGAGGGAAAGTGATTCTTTGTGGCGGTATCACCATTCTTCGGCCAAGGAGCTAATGAGGACGGGTAGATATTTCTTGGACCGTGGCAATGGGGGATGAAAGCTATGTTGACGTTCACCGTCACCAAAGTATATACCAAGGTTTTGACCAACAGCCAAGTTGGGATCTGTTTCTGTTGCTCTACAACTGATGAAGAACTTTAATGGGGAAGTCCTCTCAAAATGACTGGCCAATCCATTTTTTGCAGGTCGGAAGTCAGCGTTTTATCAACTTTGCTCTGGGACCGTGTCACCCACTGAGCACATGCTCTTGATATGCTCTGCGTCGCGGCAGCATGAGCCCGGCGTGAGGAGAACCTCCCAAAAATCAACATGTCATGGGGAAGCTGGCTGTGGTGACCTTCCATTTTTGGAGAATCATAGTATTCCCTATTGATGTCTTGAAATCTGGTGAACAGATTAAGGTGTGCTTGATATCACTTCCAAGGCCATTTTGGGGGGTGGTAACGTAAGACTTCCAACTCGTCCATTTGCCTCATCCATGCCAACCTAACGATGAGAAAGCAGACATGGTTGGTGGGCGAATTTGATTCTCTTTCCAAGATGTGCCACCTCCCTTTGCATTCACAAGATAGATATCTTGGGAGAACTGGGCGTAGAAGATTTGAGACGAAGTTCTTGGAATTTTGCAGAAATGGCCATGAAAAAATGTATAGAAACGTTTTCTCCACGCAGATTATCATGTTCATTAGATTGTTTCTGAAAAATATATACAACTGTGCAATTATGTAGGTCACTTTGCGCCTCAGGCCGACCGATACCATCGTGGGTGGGGTAATCCAACTAGTTTTGGTCCTGACCCAGGCGACCTTTCCACGAGGCAAGAACGGCTGTGGGTTGATTTGGATGTTGTCCCCAAATCAGAATTGGGCAGAGGTTCCACTTGTACCGACACTTCAAGCTTCACTTGTGAGTCGGGGTGGAGTTGGCAAACTTTCCAAATGTCAGATCAAAATCACTGAGGGTCCAAGTTTCACTGAAGCAACAGCACTACAAATATTATGTATGCGTAATATGTATCTTCAATATGTTATTGGAGACTCTTAGATGATACCAAGATATAC